AATAATGATTAGATAAGATAAGAAAGCCTGGACAAGAATAAGCAAGTGGCGCCATCTGTTGATGAAACCAGAACTAAAACATAATTTCTTTAAAGGCCGAAGGCAAAGATGGATTGGAATTAGGATCGTTAACTAGAACAGAAAGATTTTTTTGAATGTGAAATGCCTCTAGAAAATCCAGTTCTCCAATGGAAGATGTTTCTTGAATAATTTTGGCAGCAGAAAAATTGAAAGTGTGATTTTCGGACCATTGGCCAAACAAACAGAGCCTTAAAATTTCGCGTCAAGGAACATGAGGCATATGTTAGAAAAAAGGAAACATAGAAGTCTTCTGTTGCTCAACATTGTTGGTCCACATTGTTGCTCAACATTGTTGGTTCGTTAAAACCATCAAAACTAGTCCTGTGAAATTTTGGAGATATAACTCTGATTTTTGTTGTTTGACTTCTGAATTAGAGATTTTGTGTGTTTATTTAATTGAATATGGCAAAGCATATGAGGACTGGCAGACAAAGGCATGCTTTCACGAAGAATTTTCTAGGGAAAATATGTTTATATTTACATTGCACTTAAGGAAAACCACGAAATGCTTAAACACAGTGGTATACTGTAGAAAAGCTCGTGAATGCACATGAATTCATTTTTACTCAATGAAAACTAAAATTTATTAGCTAATTAATCTGTCTTCTATCAAGTATCTTGGTTCATTGATCTGTATTAATGCACCATTTTTTTTTTATAATTTAAATGCTTAAAAAATAATTTAGAAAGGACCTAAACCTCTTTTCTCCCTCTTCGTTTATAAAACTGCATTTTCATTTTTAATCATGTGAAATAATTCTATAAATATAATTCAGTACAGAAAAACAAAAGAGACTTGGAAATGGAATTAGCATTGAGATTCTCTTTAAGAAATATGATGAAGCTTATAAAAATCTAGGCAGTGAAGTAATTCTGTAGAATATTTTATAACTCTTTATTATTGAATTGCATTGAATTACTTCTATTGAATCAACAACATGTAAATATAATTTAATAATATGCGTGTATATATACTACATACATACACATACTCACACATTATTCACACACACACATTATGTGTAACTAATTAGCATATGCTAACTTAAAAGCCCACTGATTCTTTTATATATAGAATCCGTCTGCTTTTAAATTTTCAGAGGCGCTCTGCGTCATATGATACGGTTAGGGGGCCCTTGGAAGCAACAAAAAAGCTGAATTACATACACCAAAACTTCAACTGAATACAAAACGGAAAAGCTGTCTGCTTTTATTTTGATTCCGTTCTAGAGAAGAGCTTTCAAATCATTAGTGCTAACTGGGGACAGACTTTTCCTTGGGTTTATTGTGAGAACACTTCCTTAATTTTTGGAGGCTAGCATGTGACAGCAAACGGCAAAAATGAAGGACTCTTGAAGTCCACTAGAATGCCCAGAACTCCCACTTTTAGGAAACGATTTTGTATTGTAGCCACATATCAAATTTTCTCGTAAATACAGAAAGAATGAGTTGGCTGACGGTAAGAATTACTACTTTTCTTGCGCATTGTAGACTTTACAGCAATTCTTATTTTAAAGCTTGGCTATGCAATTAATTTATTTACATAAATCTTATGACAATGGCTTAGTATCGAATTAAAGTTGTAAGATCTCACTCTTTTTGTTTTCATAAATACCACTAGATCTTACTAAGAAACCTGGCGACTTTTCGCACAGTTAAACAAAACACGAAACTCATTTTAAACAACTCATTTAAACGAAAAACATGAAATGTAATTTATTTCACTTCATGTTTTTAATTGCTAAATTTCATGACTTGCTAAATTTCAGTTAAATTTTTTATTTTCATTTATGTGAAAGATTGCATTTAGCTGTGAAAGATTAAAACAGCGATTTCTAGTCTAGATATTGTTTTCCTTATAGGCTAGCGAAGTTAAGGTACTGTTTGTTCATAAGTCGATTATATTAAAGGACGAGAGCCCTGTCTGCCTAGTGGAAAGAATGCTTTTTAAAAGAAAGTAACTCGTATTTACTTACATAGAAAAAACAACAAAAATATTTACAATTAGACTGTTCTCTAAGTTTCGTACCCAGGATGAACTACTACTGTTCAGTGGTTTTAATTCATTCGGCCACTTGTGGGAATTTACCACATGTAGGATGAGGCTGCCTTAATTTTAGCTCGCGCAGATGATAGTAATGGAATGTTAAGAGTAAATAAATGTTTAGATTGGAAATGAACGTAAAGAAAAATGTGAAACAAATTGCTTATGATTTTAAGAAACGATACAGAATATACTGTTTTCAATAGGCATAAAATATTGAATTATACTATTGAAATTTTCTTCTTGATTTAATTAAATGACGAATTAAATTATTTACTCTACTTTTTTATTACTACTCTACCTTTTTATTAATAAACTAGAACATTAAAAAATCTTATAACACTGAGAAGAAAACTTTAAATGGGGCGCAAAAAGAGAGAAGAACTATGCGATGCTTTTGAATGGGCAATAATGAAGATCAAAACTGCTGATCAGTATTTCCGAGTTGAAAATTCTAGTTAAGAAGAATATCGGGCATCAACTTTGAGCTCACAGGAACAGCCATCAGAAATTTGCGAACATTTGAATGCATCATCAGACAGTTGAAATATAATTTTAAGAATTAAAAATGTACCAGAAAATATTTCGACTGAAATCACTGAAGAAGGAGAACTATCAGAAAATATTTCAGCTCCAGTCATAAACAGTGATGAAAGGTCAGACAATATTCCAATCGCTTTTAGAGATGTAAAAAGTGAAAGATATCCGTCCGATTTTAGTCATTATGCAGAAATTGTTGCAAAGTATAAGAAAGGATTTATTTTAACTTTTGGCGTTTGTAGACCAAAAGATACCGATTTTCCCCAAAATCAAAATAACAAATCATTTTCTTCTGTTCATTATACTATGATTAATAACTCCGTTTTAGAGACAGATTTTGCTTTGTTATTCACTTAACAAAGACTATTGCGAGCCATATTGTTTAATTTCAAATAAGGAGAGATGTGGACGACAGAAATACAGTACTGGCAAACATTACCCATAAGAAAAAAGTACGAGTGAAGTTCACATCGTTTTGCGGAACAGAGTAAGTACCTCAGATACATATATAGTTAATTTTTTATCTGATGTCAAATTATTGGCAGCATATAATATTGTGATAAATGACGTTATAAAAATGCTCTCAAGCACTGTTAAATATTTGAATTCTGTAACATAAAATGAGATAACTTTCGCCGACCTTTTCAGGAATGAACCATTGAACAGGCAGACTTTGACTAGGAGAAAAAACTGATTGTTTAAGAAATAGTCGTTTGAAAACAAAGCTTTTGGATGAAGTTAAAAGTTCTCTTTTTTATTTCTTTGTACGAAGTAAAGAAAGTATCGTAATCGCAAAAAACTCAGTCTATTATATTTCAATGGAAATATCCATTTTGACCGTTCTTTAACCCATCTGGGCCCACTAGCGGCCAAGCGCTGAACACTGGTAGTTTGGTCCGAGGCTCTAATTCCACAGACGGGCTGGCTGTATGGGCCTTCGTAGTTTTCCCCATGTGCAACGTGTATACGAGCTAGTTTCCCTTAAAAAGACCTCCACGAAGGTATCACTTTCCTTGGGAAGATAACCCTCGAGCCTTTGCCGTAACCACATAAACCAAACCGAATCTTTTTTTTTTTTTTTTCTTTTTTTTTTTTTTTTCGTGACGTTTGTACGTATATACACAGAATAGAATAAAGGACTCCTTTTTCCAAAAAGGATTGTAGAATGGATTCAAAAGAGATTTTTTTCTTGATATCTGTTATCTGTATGTTCGCACGTACGTACGTTCGTACATATACGTATATATATGCGTCGCATAACTCAAAACGGTTAGCCATAGAGCGTTGAAATTTTGTACATGGGATTACTATATATCCATTTGTGTACTTCTCTTTTTTATTGCAATTGGTAGTGCACATATATATAGTTAGGTGGTGTGGTGTATTTAATTATGGCAAAGCACACTAGGGCTATCTGCCTATGGGGAGGGATGCCTTTCGTGGAGGACTTTCTAAGGGAAACTGGCTCGTATACACGTTACACATGGGGAAAACCACGAAAACGCCCATGCAGCCAGCCCGTTCGCGGGATTCGAACCTCGGACCGAACTACCAGTGTTCAGCGTCTTTACCGCTCGGCCGCTGGTGGGCTATATATAGTTAGGACCTTCATTAAATTATATGCAATCATTTTAAGATCTGGCTTTCCCTTCCTTTTAATAATTATATATATATATATATACCACCCCCTTACCTGGCCTTGGTTTTCGCAATCGTTGGTCGTAGTCATATCTTCCCATTACAGAAGTGTTTTAAATGACGAAAAATATTTTGGTAATGCCAAATTTTAAAAAATCATAAATTTTCGACAAATAGCGAAATTTAACTTTTCCTGCCGTTTCCCGGTTCCTATACTTATACTTGGAAAAGTTTTATTCTCGTTATGAAAAAATAAATAAGAATTAGTTTTACTCCTGTCCGACAAATCTGACCGGGATATTTAATTCAAAAATTGTAACTTCTTATGTCATTTTTACCTTGCTCTTAGGGATCGGTTAATTAAGATAAAATCATTGGAGGAAATAACTTTAAATGAAGTGCAGCCAAAAATGTGTAGAATTTAATATAGGCGGTACCAGATTTTTAATTATTAATCTTGCTCTGATAAAAATCATTATCAAAATGTTGGCTCCTGGAAACCTCGATTTTTGGGGTGGGGGAGGAAGGAGTACTGTAAATTTATTGGGTAAGGGCAAGAAAGTTTTCTGCATAGGGGTCCTAGAGTTCCAGTTAGGCCACTGTCGATACCCTGTATATAATGAATGATAATGAATATCCAGTATTTGTATATTAACTTTTGTGTGATGTAAGTGACATATTCTCTTTATTTATATAGGGCTCACATCGAATTAGTTGGCTGTCTGAGAGATATTGCTGGAACACACTGTGGGGAATCTGCTGGACGGTTAATTGCACAATTAGTTGAGAGATCTGTCAGACCTTTCAGGTACCTCAAATGTGGTCTTCTTGAAAACGCGGATAAGCCTGACATACCGGATGATTTGGATAAAGAAAAGAAAATATTTTTTTAAATGTTACAAGAACCAAAATATTACACGAAGGCTAAAATTTATAGCAGATAAGAATATTGGACACTTCCTTTTTACAGCGCCCACTGCATAAGTTTCTAGCGGAATTTTAATGTTTCAATAACGGGATCGGCAATTAAGATTGCCAGTTTCGGCTACTAAACGCGTTGGTCATTTAAAAAAGGAAGTATCGGGTACTGAAATGCCTGTTCTTGTTCCTGTTTTAAAATCAGATGAACTTTGATTTTTTTAAAGTCTGATTCTGTTGCATTAAAAATATTTGACAAAGTAAGTTTTCGTGTTTTAAAATAGAGCAGGATTAAGAGCGCTTTTGCATCATACACTGATGGAAAATGAAATCCCTACACCAAGAAGAAATCAGTTTAGAGCAAGGGTTCTCAACCTGTTGTACGCGTACCACTGGTGGTACGCAAGAGAAAAATAGGTGGTACGCAAAGAGGCAAAGTATTTTTAGCTATTTAATTCAAAAATTTTTTCTCTAACACTCGTAAATGTTTGCGATCTGAGCTTTGTTCAAGGTCAATAGCCGCTTAGACCAGGGATTCTCAACCGTTGGCACGCGTACCACTCCTGGTAAGGAAGATAAAAATAAGTGGTAACAAAGTATTTTTAACTATTAAACTCAAAAATCTCTTGAAGAAAAAGAGCAATTGATGGGAATTTCCTGTGATAGAACTCTAACTAAAGATTTCAAAAACAACACGCTTGTTAACTTTTGGCTGAACCGAAAAGAAAGAATTTAAAGGCATTATAAATAAAGCTATCAAATTTTTATTGCCTTTTTGCACAATCTATTTGTGCGAACAAGGATTTTCTTCCATGTTATATTTGAAAAATAAATATAGAACAAAATTAAAAGTGATTCTAATATACGGTTAAAGCTAATTAAAATAAAAACCAGACGTAAAGAAATTGATCGTTCTTAAACAGACCTACATTTTACACTAAATTTTAAAATTAATTAAACTTAAATTTTGATAATTAAAATGGTAACCAGTTTTTGATAATTAAAATGGTAACCAATTTTTAATGTATGTTTTTAATGTGTGCATATTTAATTAAAATAGCGAATAGGTTTTGCAAATGGCAAAATACATATATTATATAAATTTTTAATATTTCTATTGAGAAACTGAGAAATAATCATTATAAAATGTAGTGGTGGTACTAAAGATTTTCCATTTTTGTTTAGATGGTACGCGTTAATCGAAAGGTTGAGAACCGCTGGTTTAGAGGGATGAAATATAAGCAAAACATTTGTTAGGCATATTTAAGAATCAATATTTACTTGAGAAAACTTTAAAAGTAAACACGATACATTTATACACATTTCTCCTCGGTAAAATCACTGAGCACTGGTAGTTCGGTCAGGGGCTCGAATTCCGGTGAACGGGCTGGCTGCTTAAGCGTTTTCGTGGCTTTTCCCACGTGTAACGTGGATAGGATCCAGTTCACTTTAGAAAGTACTCCACGAAGGCATCTCTTCCTTTAGGCAGATATCTCTGGAGTGCTTTGCCGTAATCAAATACCCAACCCAAAAAACACCTCCCAGAATACAAAATCACTTTTATATTTTCTTACATGTACGTACATTTGAGAACAGAAGTTTCTTCCGAGGTCCTCCTGTGTTGCAACTCTTGCTGAGATCCGATGGCTGAGTGACGTCATCTCGAACTCTGAACTCTCGCTTAGAGATCACGAGAACTCGAACTGAGAAATCGCACGCTGCGTCGTGCGAACATTTAAACCTTTCATTATATAAATATTCTGTAACCGTTGCGTCTTCATTAAATATGTTTGTGTTAAGAAAGTTTATCATTTATGGATTATCCCTCTCAAGATTTTGCAGATGCAGGTATTCATAGAGAAGAACTTCAGCCCAGTGTCCCTGGCCGAACCCATTGGAACAAGGTAAGCAGTTTTGTTTTACCTTGATTAATTAGTTAAGGATATAAATAAGAATATCCTGATCAGAGACTCGGGGCGGTCTGCATCTCCCTCGGTACTCCAGAATATGTTACATTAATATCAGATGTAGTTGCTGTCATGTTGAATGCAAGCATGTAAATGCGCATGCCTGTGCCGCACAGGTACCGTATGTCATTTTGTGGGATGGAATTCCACAAACGTTGCACTTGGTAAATCAAATCAGCAATAGTCCATGCTGCTTGTGGATGACGTTAGATTTATCGTTCAATCATGTGCGGATGATTGGGTGATCTGGGAGTCCAAGGTAGCATATCGATGCTCTGTAGAGCACTTTGGATAATAACAGCGGTATGCGTAACGAGAGTTATGTTGTTGGAAAATACCCTTGCAATATTGCATAAGAATTGCAGAACAACTGGTGCAATCACCAGACGTACAAATTTTCTGTCAAGGTGTGGGAAAGGAGACTACCCCAGCTGTCATAGGAAATTGCTCTCCAGATCATAACTCCTGGTGTAGTCCAGTGTGTATACACGCCACAGCCAGCTCGGCTCGACGACATTACCAGGCCTCCTTGTAACCAACATATGACCATCCTTGGCACCAAAACAGAAACGGCTCTCATTTGAGAATCCAACAGATTCTCCACTCCACTCTCCAGTGAGCTTGACACCATCACAGTTGCAGATGTCGGTGATGTGGAGTTAATAGTATGAATGTTACAGGTCGTTTAGCTCAGAGCTTTCCTCAAGTAATCTGTTTATTATAGTTCGCTGCTCAGTCTGGTGTGAACAAAACTTTGAATGCCAGTTGGAGATGCAGTGCGATATGCGACAAGTACAGCATCTTCCCTTCGGTGGCACATATATGTGACTGAACTCTGCTCTTATTGAGACAGTACCTCCCTGTGATCACCCCTGCCAACACACATGCACAGTGGATACATGGCCTCCATCAAACTCAGCAAGCTGCTGATACCGTATGTCGATTTATGTTCTTTATCTCTTAAAGGCATTCTGAAATCAAATCTCGCTGACAACGCCTAATCCTCAAGATAAATAAACACACGATGTTTACATCGCGCATTTAAATCAAACGTGATTTTCTTGTTCATAGGGGCGTAACGCCACGTATATTCGTCTAGCACGAAATTCGAATATACGAGTATGTCATCTTTCATACTTACAAACACGCATTCCAAATTTAATTTATCTATTTAATTTATCGTTTTTGGTAATGGGATTTCATTTTCTATCAGTGTACTTTAAGATAAGTAAACTCGCAGTAAAAGAGTAATGTTAATAATTACGAAATATTTATCTTCTGCAGCATGAAGAAAAAGATGATCTTGTAATATTTCCTCTTCTATCATAGAATTCAATCTGTATTTTATCAAAGCAATAACGGCAAATTCGTCTATACACCGTTATTAAAAATTGTAATGTTAAATGAATTAAAGTATATTTTCTATTATCATAAAATAATATACCATTAAGATCCTTTTTAAAGAATTCTATAATTAGAATGATTTTTTTATGACTACTGTTTTTTTGACATTCATTGTGAAGTCATTCAGCAACAAAACTGTTGCTGATGATATTTTTATTATTAAGTTACTTAAATTTATTTATAATAAATAAAAAAAGTACTTAGTGATAATATTATTGCTTCTTTTTTCTGTAACTTCATTTTTAATTTCAATAAAAAAACTGAAAAACTGTTGACTTACTTCTTTTACAAATTTGAAAACACAAATTTAAATGTTTTCACAATTTGCAACATCGAAACTTCTCTGCTTAGGCATTCGATAGTTATTTTATAGTTCAAGTCTCTGCGACAGAAAATACTGAGATACATTTCTCATGCGTTTTTTTTCTCAAAATCAATGAAATTAATTTTCAGAAATTTTACATTTTTTTTTTTGGGAAAAAATTCTCAGTTTTCGAGAAACTGCGCAATTTCTGAAAGCATGATATAGAAAATTTTCCTTTTCTCAAGAAGAAATACTACGTTTTACTTCTATGGCAAATGAGACGCACGTAGAAGTAATACCAAATACCCACTATCTGAGGTTAGTAGGGCAAATTCACCTTTATCAGAATGAGCACACAAAGTTAACTTAGGCAATATACTTGTAATGACTTTACAACCACGCACATTCCTATAGTAATGTTTTCACCTTTTTAAACAGCATTCCGTTAAATAAATAGTAGCATTTATTTGGATTCTTTTAATACGTAGCATTATGCAATGAGCATTTAGAATTTTGCAGATGAAATGAAAGGAGATCAAAATGTTTTAAAATAATGAGGAAGAATAAGAAAGAAATAGTCTCCGTGTTTCCTAAATCCCTAAAATACGTAGCTTCACTGCAAATTTAAAAAAAAGAAAAAAATCTCATTTATGTTTTAGAACTTATCTATCGAAGATCGCTTTTGTTAACAGAGGAATAAGTATAAAGTAAGAAATTAAATAAGTAGCTTCTGTACAAATACATATTATTTTATTTCAATAAGGAATGTTCTCATTTTTAAAGTTTTTAAACTGGATAACTAAAAATTAGGAACTGTTTATGAGTTATACTAAACTTTACTTCAAGAAATAGCACAAACCCCTACTGTATGAAGAAGTGAAATCTACATTAAAATTAATCTCGAAATTTTCGAAATTTATAAAACTTTACATATTTAAGAGCAACAGAAATATAAGATTGAATTTTATGAATTTATTTATTTATTCAATCATTGATCAAGATTGGATTTTATATTATTTATTTTTATTTAAGCATAATATTCAGTTTTATTATTTGTTCGGTACTTAAGTCAGTATCGTTTTTACCATGCTGTAATTTTATTAGTATAAAATACACTACAAAACAATGTAATACACAATAACAAGACACTGATACGCTACGTCATAAACCACTACTCACTCACTAATTTACTCAGTGATGCAATCAACACCTTTGTCAATAACCGCCCGCCAACGTTCAGGTAGGAGTTCAATTACTCTCTTGCCTCTTCTTACCCAATGAATCAAAATTCCGCAAGGTGGTTATGTGTTCGCATTTCATAATTTCTGGCGATTCCATAACTTTCTGCTGATTCTCGTATACACGATGAATTCTTCTGCAGCACTAGATCCTTGCTTAAACTCGAAGAGTAAAATGAGTTCATTTATTTTCTTTTTAACACTCCATGCAGATTATCCTTGAAAATGGCCAAAACAAGCTGTTAACAGCATACAAGCTCCTATTTGCAGCAATCAAAATCCAAACTGAAAAGACAACGCTGAGCGGTAAAGTTGTTGAAAGCTGGTAGTTTGGTCCGAGGTTCGAATCCTGCGAACAGAATGGCTGCATGAGCGGTTCCGTGTTTTTCCCCGTGTGTAAAGTGAATACGAGCCATTTCCCCTAGAAAGTCCTCCACGAAGGCATCCCTCCCCTTAGGCATATAGCCCTCGAGGCTTTGCCATAACCACATAAACTAAATCAAAACAAACTGAAAAGAAACGATTTAATAGCGAAAAACCAAGGCTTCAGAATACAGTGTTGCCAACCCAGTGAAGAACGACATGGACTTATGCTCCGACCCAGTAATACTAAGCACAGGTTTTCATCGATTTATGTTAGACCTAGAGATTGTACACGATTGGATTATATATATTATGACAATGCAACGAGAGACTATTTAGTCTTGTGAAAAGATGCATATGGAAAAGATTCTTTAAAGAAAAATTGCTCTTATTCATGTTACACATACGAAAAACCAAGTAAACTACCGTGCAGCCAGCCCGTTCGTCCCAGATTTGAGCTCGGGTTGAATCACCATGTTCAATGCTCCCGGACTGTTGAGCTAAAGTTTTATAAAAACTGATAAAGTTTGGGACTGACAATCTGCGTTTATCCATACCCTCTATTCATAATATAATAAAAATTATAATTAGAAAATAACTTCTTTCTTGAAGTGCAATTCATAATTATTTGTTTGCTTTTAAAGTTGAATCATCATTTATGTGCGTAATACCAATGTTGGTAATTAGATCCATTACAGAACACACAGAACAGTTGGAAGCTTCATGAAATTTATTTCCCATAAACACTTCACAGTCCTAGAACTTTTCCCACAAAAGT